TTTTGGATAAGAAACTTGTCTAGTGGTCCATTACGGTAAGTATTCGCCATCATCAACTGTTGAGATTTTTCCATTTGATGTTACGGTGAAGAGTCGAAATAATTGACTATCGATGTATTCCTATTAAAAAATTATGGTAATGAATCGACATAATTGAATATTGTTGTATTTCTAATTAAATCTATGGTCAATAATTGATTGTGAAGTAATTCAGTCCTGAATACCGATCTTTTACCATACCTTAAATGTTAGATCGAACGGTCCATCGCGGGTTACGACACGTCCCTGTAAATAATACGGTGGATCCTATAAGACCATTAATTATTTTTGGTTTGATAATTAATTTGGAGACTTCCCGGTGGTCTCATTACAGTCATAATTGATGAGTAGCGGATTTGGTGCCGCTAAATTTGTCTAAATCATCGACTTTCGTTACACACGTCAATCTCATGTTTTCAGGTTTCACCGGTAATTCAACCCTTAGCAAGGTTGTTGCATAACCTATAAATTGAAGGGCAACTTACACCATTGCATAACCTACAAATTGAAGGGGCAACATACACCATTGCATCACCTGCAAGTTGAAGGGGTAGCATACACCATTGCATAATCACTACAAAAAAATAATGATAAATTTGTACCCTTTTTAAATTTTGTCTATAATTTGCATTATTCCGGTAATAATGTTGAAAGGAGGAGAAACATAAAGTTTATATTCATGAAATTTACTTGGTGTCTATACTTTATGTGATATCATTACATTTAAGGCGATGAATATTTATATTTTTAGCTTGGCGGTTTATTTTTACGCGGAAGTGTTCTTGATGGGATACAACCTGACAAAAATAAATATTAAGAGTAAACTAGCAATCCCCATCTATTCAACCAAGCATAAAAACTCGTATAAATACACATAGGATACCCATGCGGCTTAGGTAAAAGTTGAATTTTCTCGAAAACGAAAAGTCGTATCAAAATTTGGTCTGTACAGTTTTCCGATCTTCGATAGTGTAAAAGAATCGTACAGGTCTGGGGCGGATCGGAGGAGTGGAATTTTCCGAAGATATTTTCAAGCGCAGGACTTAGATATATTATTTAATTTCCCGAATCAAACCTTACTCTCCAGTCTCCGATACCAGACCCATCCCGGAGGAGATGGTCTTTTAATAGGTACCGAAATTTAAAAAACTCGCAAATACACATAGGATACGCATGCGACTTAGGTACAAGTCGAATTTCTTGAAAAACATACAACCTGACAAAGTAAATGTCAAGAGTAAACTAGCAATCCCCACTTTTTTTTCAAGCAAGCATAAACATTGGTCATGTCGCGATAGATCCACCAAGGGTGGTAGCGAAGCTTAAGACTTTCCTTGGGTCTGTACGACTAATGGGTGAGAGCGCGCAATCAAATTTTAGGTATCTCTGATACTCTTCAATCCACACAAGTGAATAAGGGTCCTAAGACTATTCTGACACCCACGAATCAACAGATATTCCACGTTGAACATTGATTTTGAGACGCATCGAGCGAGGACCCCATAAACTGAAGTTTCACCACATACCCTACCGCGGGCGAATTTAGTAGCGCTAAAAATTTAAGTGTTTCTGATAGCTGTTAGTACTATACGAACTTAATGAAAGCTCTAAAAGGTTTTTAGGACTTATGGATCAACAGCAATCGGTGTTAAAGATTGATAATCTTACAAATTTGTCGAATTTTCCCCCTCTGAAATTCGAGACAGCGCCCTATCGCGGGGAAATTTACTAGCGGTATAAGTTTAAGTTTTCCTGATAGCTGTTAGTACTACGAACTCAATGAAAGCCCTACAAAGATTTTTAGGACTTGTGGACCAACAGATATTCGGCGTTGAACATTGATTTCAGGACGCATCGAGTGAGGACCCATAGGAATGTGCTGAAGTTTCACCGCATGCCCTTTCGCGAGCGCGGGCTACCCGCAATGCACGTTTACGCTTTCCTGATACCCCATGATCTGTAGAAACTAAAACCAGGCGTCACACCGTTGTGCGATCCACAAACAGACAGCTATTTCACGATGAATTTTGAACTTTGGACGGAGCGAGGACCACAATCTATGGGGGATACGAAGGAAAACCGCGTATACACATAAGATAGGTGTGTTTCATAGATGTGTCTTTACCATCAGACATACAACCTGTCAACAGTATTCAAGCAAGCATAAAACTCTTATACACACATAGGATACCCATGCGACTTAGGTAAAAGTCAAATTTTCTCGAAAACGAAAAGACGTATCAAAATTCGGTCTGTACAGTTTTCCGATCTTCGATAGTGTAAAAGAATCACATCGGTCCGGGGTGGATCGGAGGTTGGGAATTTTCCGAAAATATTTTAATTTTTCTATTCAGACCCTATTCTCCAGTCTCCAATACCAACCCATCCTATAGGATATGATCTATCGATCCCGAAAAATTTTACAAGTCCAAAAATCCGAATATTTTGCACAATCTGAAAACAATGTAAGGAACAAAACCGCGTATACACATAAGATAGGTATGTGACATAGATGTGTTTTTTACCATCAGATATACAACCTGTCAATAGCTAAAGTCAAGAGTGAACTACCAACCTATTTATTCAAGCAAGCATAAAAACTCGTATGTACACATAAGATACGCATGCGACTTAGGTTAAAGTCGAATTATCTCGAAATCTAAAAGACGTATCAAAATTCGGTCTGTACAGTTTTCCGATTTCCGATAGTGTACAAGAATCACATAGGTCCGAGGCGGATCGGAGGATGGGAATTTTTCCGAAAATATTTTCCAGCACGGGATTTAGAAAATTTTTTAATTTCCCCAATCAGACCCTACTCTACAGTTTCCGATACCAGAACCATACTGGAGGAGACGGTCTTTCGAAACCTCAAATTTTTACAAGTCCAAAATTCCGAATTTTTTTGCACAATCTGACAACACTGTACGGAAAAATCAACAAATTTTTTGCCCCATCTGGCAACACTGTAAAATTCGATGTTGCAAAATTTCACAAATAATTAATTAATTTATTTAAGTGCTCAGTCCGGCAACACCGTTCCGCCATCTTGAATAATACACCATTGCATAACCCGCATTTTGAAGGGGCATTATTACACCATTGCATAACCCGCATATTGAAGGGGCTAACATGTAATACTTTTATTTTACAGCGTTGCCATATTGAACAATAATCCCTATACAACACTGTAAAATTCGTATTTTCCTGCACAATTTGGCTAAAAACTTTTGGGCTCAAGTCCTCATTTTCATACTACTTCCCACTCAGTTCGGCGAATCCAAAGACACTGAATCACGTAGACCGTGCGATCGGCTCGGTTTAGTACTGGCGGAGCGAGGCAAGTCTCTAGGAGCCCCATGATGGACGGGCGGGGAAGGGGAGAGAGCGCAGAGCGTATGTCCCAAGCTCTCGAAGAAGCAATGGAGAATTCATGCCCGCGCTCGGTTTTTCACGAATATCTCGTTTAGAGTCCATTTTTAGACAAAATTCCTAAGAAGAATTATAGAACACATAATTTTACACCCGATTAGCATTGTTTCATTTTTCCGAACTTATTATTAACTGAGGAAAAAAGCCTCAAAATCCGACGAAAATTCACTGGAGCCGCTACTGCGCATGCGCAGATGTGCGCAACTGGGACACACGAACACATCGATGCGGGTTGGTGCCCACCACTCATCGCATGCGAATTTTTCAAAGTTGTCTCGCCTTCCGTAACACAGGATGCACGGTCTACGTGATTCAATGTCTTTGGGCGAATCAGACTCCTCTGCCGACCTCGCATTGTTGCCACATGTCTCCTGATCCGTTGCCGCGCGCAGTTTAAAAAAGCCGATTTTCCCGACCTTCGCTCCTTTCCGCTCTTATAACTCGCGACCAATACATTTCCCCAGCAAGCGGTAAAGAGCTAGAGGGGCTTCAGAGAGTCAGGAACAACATATCAGTTTTTCATCAAAATAAAAGAATGGCTTTTTTTTAAATCGGCCCAAACGTGAAAAAATAAGGGGTCTTTTTTGAGTGTTCCGGCGCTTCGGAGGCGATAACTCGAGCTGAAGTTGACAAAACCTTATGATGTTATACATTTTCTGAAAGATCTCGTCACGCTGAATGCGCTCGTTTAAACCGCGTTTTCCAAACCTTCTTGGTTTTCGAGAAATAAATTCGCGAAAATTTTGTCGGTTTTTAACTTTGACCCCCCGCTGCGTCTCCCCAAAATTTTTGGTGGGCTAGAAACTTTGGGAACAGATGGGGCATTGTTAGGTGAATGAAGAGGGCAAGTCTCAAAGGTATCCGCCCGAGCCCCAAATGGCCCGTTTTGCACGTAGTCCTTTCCAAAAAATTGCGTAAAATTTAACCGGAAAGTATTATAGTTGATTTTAGCTTCATATTGTAGGGGTGACTTCTCTGATTAGATATCACTTCGCCAGACTGTCCAACTCCGATGGAAAAGGGTTTGCCAGACCGCCCGAAAGTTCCGAAAAATTTCGCAAATTTTAACCGGAAAGTATTATAGTTGATTTCAGTCTCATTTTGTAAGGGTGACTTCCCTGATTAGATATCACCTTGCCAGACTGTCGAACTCCGATGGGAAAGGGTTGCCAGACCGCCCGGAAGTTGCGGTCTAGATTGTATTATACGTCAATATCCGGTAAGGATGGAGTGCCGATTTGGAAAATACGATCTTCTTAGGTTACATCTGGTTATGTTCCGCAAGGACTGCATTGTTGCAAAGTCAAACCAATAATTTAATATTTTATTGCGCCACCAGGCATCCATGTAAATGCGCCTAGTTGCACCATTAATTAAATTATTTTTTGCACAGTCTGGCAACTGTTGGACTCGAAAGCTCCATTTTCATACTGCTGTAAATTCGCACTTTGTCTGGTGGTCCATTTGGGTGAACCTATTCATAGTTTCCTATTAATATCCTTCTAAGTGTAGATTGTTTTTCTTTCTAGTATATGCGTTTGAGGCTGCGTGTGCCGGCAAATCGATGGAAGACATCGCGGTGATCGCCACAGCGGCAGCTGCGACCGTGGCCAGAGAGGCGGTGAGTTGTTTTCTATGTTACAGAATGTAGGCGATAGCTACAGTAATGACCTATGTGGGAAAACTTTGTTGTGAGAAAATTGCGTTCGAAGTTTTACTTTGTGAATATGACATCGCGTTTTTGAGAAACAAGGAATTTTTTTTTACTGGTTTAACGCTTTGAACCTTACCTACTTGAAGAGTAGTCATTCAGAAGTTTATCAAATAATTTATTTATTAATTTGTAACACACTGGTTGTAGCTCTTAATTTTTTCATAGTCGGGTATGCAGCCAAAATGCTAAAAAATGTGCAAGAATTAAGTTATATCAAAACAGTTTCATTTAATTATAATTTTTGGCCAAAACTTTTCGGCACATTTTCCATTGTCAGTACCTTGAATGTCAGAGAACTATATTTAAATACATTTTCAATTATCAATAACAACTTTGGTAGGCACTTTGTTGACTAGGCAGGATTGTAAAAATTGCTTAGATGGCTCACGGATTAACCTTATAGTTTAACTAGCCGCTGTGGCTCGCTTTGCTCGTCTTGCGTCTAGTCGGGGGCTCCACCTCCTGGACCCCCGGGTGACAAGCGAGCAGTATTCCGTGCCGTAAGTGCAAAAAAATTATAAAATAATGTAATCCAATAAAAACTCTATTCTGAATGCATGAATTCGAAAGGCATTCCTCCATAAAATCCTGTGAATACAGATGCCCAATAGTATCGCCGTATGTCAGACACTCAAAAATCGCAAATGTTCCGTAAAATGGGAAGAAAAATTGAACAAATTTTGCTAATTATCTATTAATCAACTGACACGATGGTAAAAGAACGTATCTGGCGGAAACAGGTGTATAGTAGTCTTGCACTGGGTTGGACACTAAAAACCCGAATGTTCCATGAAAAAAGGAAAGAAGGTATGAACAGAAATCGCTAAATATCCATTGATCGACTGGCGCGGCCGCAAAAGAACGTATCTCACGAATACAGATGCACAATAGTATCGTCCTGTGTCGGACCATTTCCTACTTTGCATTCCTGACCATTCGAGAAATCGTGTGTGATTGTGTCAGTAATAACTGCGGAGAACAAAAGGAAGCCGCCGGGCTACGTTTAGATACAATAAGAGCATTAACTCCACGCATTTGGATGCCACTATCTGGTCGGAGAATCATGTTTTGACTTGTTTCTATGCGATAAATGACGACTCGAGAAAATCTTGTCAAAGCGTGGGCCGTCATGGGCCGTGCAGCTGGCGGTCCCAAAAGATCTCATTCTCAATTCGTCACCCTTTTCTCCCTTCCTGCTCGGCCAAATGGAGCTCCAAAAATCGATGAAATTTCTCAGTTCACGTTCGATTTCAACTTTCTTAGTAAATTACATTCTGCTAAAAAAGTATATTACAATGAACTAAATTTCTTTGTGATATGTTGATCTGTAATGGTAATAACCACAAAAAACCCTCAACAAGGGTAAAAATTCCGCCAAGCCTATGAGACCTTATCACAAAATTAGTAGGTCTGTATCCAAAAAAAATTTAAAAAAGGAGTGGTGGGGGGGGGGGGGGGGGGGGGGGGGATCTCTCCAAAATTACAAAAGGAGAAAAGATAAGTAGCTCAAACTGTGTTTTATCAGTTCGAGTCGATTTTTCTTTCTTCCCTTTCACCACTTGCCATTTCCATGTCACCTAGGTCCTTCAAAATTCAGAACGGCTAATAACTGTGAGCGCCAGGCGGAAATATCATGAATTCGACAGTCAACTCCTTCATTGTAAGTAAACGAATAAACTAAGTTAGTCCTTGGGATCTGCTGCGAAACGAATTTCATAGGCAAATGGCATAGGCGAATTTTCATAGTTCTAGCTGGAATTTAAGAGGAGTTTTTTCGAGCATTCATGTAATTCTTCCTTTGTCGTTTTACTTGCAATGCTTGAGGCTATACCTTGGTGCCTAAAAGAAGATGGGCTGCAGCTGACACTCAAATGATACATATCGGGACCGTCTCGCCAGAATGGACCACTAGACAAGGTACGAATTTAAGCAATCTAATACAAGTCTCTTAACCAAAATTTCACTTAAAACACGATTCGCACAACGAAAATTACTGAAACCAACTCCTAACTAAGATTTTAACGTTTTTATTTCACATTGGTTACGAGGAATTTGAACTGCCTGCTCACAAGGAACTCAAAGCTGTACGTGAGTCAAATTGCGCACTGCAATGGTTTTAGCAAGCTTCTCAATCAAGCAATGTTCATTTTCCATCATGTGTTGTTCAAACTATTAGCAATTTGCTATAGCTGAGCCAAAGCGTCAAGATTGAGGTTGCCAGATTTTTATATTGCAGAGACTATCATGATAATGTTTAGCGTGCGATGTGAATCACGTAGAGCATTGAGTTTTAATGAGCGGGTGATTTGAATTCACGCATCAGGAATCATTGAATATCTTTGTAAGGAGTTGACTTCGCTAATTTTTGTTGTGCGCATCGTGTTCTACGTGAAATTTTTATTAAGAAACAGGTATCAGAATGCTGAAATTCGTACCTTGTGTAGTGGTCCATTGTTGATATTTTAGCTATTTTTTTTGTTGCTCTTTTTAAAAATTCTACATTCATCTACTTGACTTTTTTTTTTATTTTCAAAGAATGTGGCAGAATCTGAATTGAAAATATTCAATCTATTCTTGATCTAAACGAGGGAGGTCTTGTAAGTATTATACAATGGTTCCTTACATGGCTATTGTAGGTAAGAAGAGTTGCGGCTACCTGAAATGAAGGGGAATAATTAGCGAAAAATTAAATAAAGTTCATTGATGTATGAGAGTGGAATTTGTCTCCTAAAATGCAAAACGAAAATGAAAGTGAGATGAGGAGATTGTAAAAAATCTTGACTTCAAAAGATATCAAATATTTTAAGGTTGGAGACTGAAAAAAGAACTGCTTGTTTTATCCCTCGCCATCTCCTCGTAGGAAACAAATCCAATTATCCTTCCTTGTATTAGTGACCCAGGTAATTAAACTAGCTTCAAAGGTAAGCTGGTTGTGTCAAAGACTAACTAAAGGGGACTCTCAGCAGAATTAACTGACAATTTGCTCGTTGTAGTTCTGGGGCGTACCTATACTTAAAAAAACTTGACCTCAAATGATATCAGAAATTTTGAGGTTTGAAATGGAAAACAAAGTTTGAGCTACTTTTCTTTTCTCCTTTTGTAATTTTCAAGAGATTCCCCCCCCCCCCCCCACCGCTCCGTTTTTAATTTTTTTTTGGATACAGACCTACTAATTTTGTGATAAGATCTCATAGGCTTGGCGGAATTTTTACCCTTTTTGAGGGTTTTTTGTGGTTATATCAGTTATTTTATGTTTTTCTGCACATGCAAAGACCATTAGACTCTTGTCAAAAGGAAGGAAAATGTTAAGCTGTGAATATTGGTGCATAAGGATTCATTACAAACAATGTTCTTTCTTGATGTTATTCTTCCCTTGGAGATGAAAAATATTTCTATCCAAATTTTAAAGACAGGGAGATCAAAATTGAATACCGGCACTCAAAAGAAAATACTGCTAGTAATTACTGCTGCCCGCATTTATCCTCTTTCAACCGAGTTATGTGGTGATGCTGAAACTAAGGACATGACTTGGAGAACTATGTTGAAAAAAAAAAAAAAAAAATATGAATGTCAAAGGCTAGCAGTCCTATGAATTCTTATATGTACACATTGACAAATGAAGTTATTGAAAGTCCATGATTTCAGTAAGCTTCGTAAGGCTAAAAAATACTTCAAAGATGAGCATAAGAAAATTCTAATGTCAGAGTCCTTGTTCATTCAAAGTGAAATAGTTTACTTAAACAATGTACTTAAAATTTCGGAAAAGATACATTGCTATGATGATCCTTATGTACTACTTTTACTGACCGATCTACTTTTCTAATGAGAAACAGAAGGCCCTTAGGTATTTTGAAATTGGAAAAATTCCTGAAGAATCTGGCCACAAAAATTGTATTGTTACAAATTTGGAGAGTAGGTATTGTGTGATGAGTAAGTTAACACATCTTGTGAATATCAGATTACCCAGAGTATTGTAAGCACAGAAATCTTTGAAAGTAAAGGTAAGCAAGTGAAGTAAAAACTACCAAAATACTCTTAAGAGCAACCAAGCTAAAAGACCCGTCGGTAAATTCCCCCTCCAATCCATAAAGATAACTAAAGAAAAAGAAGCGAGCAATTTCATTCGCTGAACTCTTAAATTTGAAGTGCAATCCTTAAGTAATACCGTCTTGGGCAGTTCAAAATAAACTTTATGCTAATAGCCTCCTTGGTTCCCACCTAGAGAATGTAGCTACTAAGAGAAAATCTGGAGATAGGTATGTGTTACCATAGTCTAAGTAGGTATGGGCACCATCGAGGATGTTCGGGCACCGTCGACAATGCGCGACATCCCTACGTTGCCCGTAATATATATATATACCATTGGCGCGCTGAGCTCTGATCTGTTTACAATTCAATTACTTACTCAGCAGCATATTAAATCAATGTGAGTAAGAATAGAGACTTTAGCAGTGTATAGTATAGAGTATCACTTAAATTCCTTCCGTTCATTGCAAATACATTGCCCCATCTGCTATTTGCTTCGAAACTCAATGGCTATAGTAGCAATGTCCGCTGAGATTCTTCGTCCTTAAGACACTTGTCCTTTTTTGTAATGATTGTTGAAGTAGCCGTGTTTTGACATGGGTCCCGAGACTTTTTTAGCTGTGTCGTTTAACATTTAAATTGTTAGGTAGATTTCGAAGAAATATCTACCTATTGCAGACGGTACGACCTCGTAATTTTCGGGAATTTTCGCTCGAAGAGCATCGATCTTGAAGCCCTGAGTTGAAAAATATAGGTCATATAAAAGATATATATGTATATATATTAATATTGTAAAGACCCACAAGCTGAAATGCCATTGAGACCAATAGTGAGCTCAATAGGTAGCCCTTTTTATAATATGTCCAAATATTTTGGCAATA